GTATTCCAGGAGGTTCTTGTATTTTTGATGTATAGATTCATGTGTGATGTTGATTTTTTTACACCTTCTGGTTTGCTAATCATAATGTTTCTTTTATATGCATATTTTCTTAAGTTAAATTCATTAGTTTATCTTTGTTTGCATATGTTATTTTTCATTGTGACATGAGATTATTTAACTTTATTATCTTCTGAAAATCTTGATATAGAAAGTTTGTGAAAGAAAATGCAATCAAGGATCTGAAGAAGATTGAAGGATACAAAGAAAAGAATAAAGAAAGTGAACGGATAGAATAAACTAAAGCTTATTATTACAGGCTACGAAACATGAAGTATTGCTTAATTTTATGATATATAACATGTGCATAGAGGTGTTGACTGAAGATGAATTTCCTAAGATATAATAATCCTTTATTTTCATGACACAAACAAACCTTGGATGTCATTGGAGATGGCATTCACGGTTAGTTCATGCAAACTAAAATCATCATCAAAGCCAAATCCATTATCCATCCAGCTATCCCAAGATGGAACACAAAGCTCACTACTGCTTTTGACATGCTCTAACCAGTATTCACTTTGTTGCTCTCTCATGATCAAGGGCTGTTGTGGCTGAGAAACATGGGGCATTGGTGTAGTTACTTTTGTTATCTCTTGTTTGCTACCTTGTTGGAAATTTAGGGTAATGGGACCCTTATGGATTGCAAGGGACATGGTTGTTGTTGTGGAACAGCCAGTGAACTGTTGTACCAATGCCCTGAAATTGGAGGTGTTGGCTTTCAGAAGGGTAACGGGAGTGGTCTTAGAAGCCCTAGATCTCCTTCGAACTGCTTTGAACGCACAACCCTTTGGAGTTAAATTGTGGCCACCACTTGTTCTGTTGTTATTGTGTGATGAGTTGCTCTTTGATGATGACATGCATATGCTTGAATCCATGAATCCTTCTATGAATGGATCAAGATCATCCACCACAAATTGCTCGTCAAACTGCATGCCCTGATCATCATCAGTGGCACTCATGTTCGTGATTTTGTTGAGTGTTAGACTTTGTTTTCTGAGATTGAGAAAGAGTGCAAAGGTTTGGTTTGGTATATATAGCAAGTGATAGGGTGAGAGAAGAATATAAAGTCTGAATAAAACCAATTTTGTTCACACCAGTATCTCTGTTCACGATCACCTCTTCTTATTTGTCTTTCCATCTACACAACAATTAATATTTTTAAGTATTCTATTCTTTCATGTATATCTATTTCTTTTATAAAATTTAATTTTGGGAGGATAACTTAAAAACTACATTGCTTTAATAATTCTCCATATGTCTAACCAAATATATTGTTTCACTTTTTTGGGAATATATTTACTGAAAAATGATTCAATTTACATAAGTAAAATTCACATGAAATATGAAAGAAACTAAAGCTTTCTTGCAAATTCTTAAACCAAATTGAGTAGTACTAAGTAATAGTAGAATGGTTTTAGGTGATTAATGAATTATATTTAAAAAAACAAACATGTTGTATTAATTTATGTATATGCATATATTAAGCATATGTACCAAGTAATTTTGAAATAACTTAAAGAAGTTGTAATATAATGAAGAAGAAGAGAGAAAGAGTGTGTGTAGGTGTGTTTGGTGAAAGCAAAGATTTTCAATTTTGACCATTCTTTGATGGAGATAGGGGGGAAACTTATTGGCCAAGGATAGGTTGTTTCCAAGAAGTGGCATGCATTATTTAATATATAGTATCACTCATATTTACCAAAACAATACTTTATTAAAATAAAAACAATCCTACTACTAACAATGTAGTTCTCTTATTTATGTATTCCTATTATCAATGTCAGATTTCTAAGACATAATATTTTATTTAATTTGTTTGGAATGCGATCATGAAAAATAACAAATGAAAAGATTTCTTTTGTTTACAAGGAGTAACAAAGTTTGAATTTAAGAATCTCGTTCTCAATTATTTTGTCTTAATTGAATAAAAAAGTATATTTATAAAGCAATTTTCTTGAAAGAAATTTAAAAAAGAATATATTTACAAAGCAATTTTGTTAAAAGAATTTAAAACTTTTATTTCTGAATTTGGATTTTCTTTTATTTTTTTACTGTTTTTTTTGTTGGATCTTCAGAACACACTTATATATTAATTCTGATATTTTAAAATACAATAAAAATATTTTTTTAGTATATTAAAATCAGCGTGTTTTTTAAGTTATACCAAAACAAAAGTCTAAATTGATTATCACTAAATGAGCAATTGATTAACATATAATATTATCTTCTTTAAATAATTAAGAAATGACGTAATTCATTATAAACTATTCTTCCTAAGACTTCTTCTTACTCAATCAATCCTATTGAATTTAAATAAACTTTATGTATCTCTCGACAAATTATTCAAAAATCTATTATTTTCCTGGTTTCGATATTGTATCTGTGGTTTCCTTCTAATTATTACGAGTTACTAGTTATGAAGAGCAAAAAAGACACAATATATGTTCAAAAGCTAAGTTTTAAGGGTTTTTCATTTTTTTATTAATTTTTAGATAAGTTAAATAAATTAGCCAAATTTTCCAATGAAATCGAATTGGACTCATTTTTCATCTTCATCTTCATTTGTTTTGGTTTCCAACAAATTTTCACATTAATTGGTTGGTCTTCAACTGATTATTTCCATATTCAAGTATTGTTCGTCAAAACCATTCAAGTTCTGTTTGTCAAAGTCGTTTGGATGATACTTTGAAGAAAAAGTATTTTAATATTAAAGTTAATAGATAACAAAACATAAATGCTTTAGCTCTAATAGTGAATTTGTTATGCATACAAATGAAAGTCATATTTTAGACATTTTTATTTATACTAGTTGTTATGATATTTTAAGTTTTTTGTTGGTCTAATCACGACTCATTTATTCTTTAATCAATATTGATAGATTGATTTGTGATTGACATTCGTGTTAATCTTACTTTTATTTTTTATTTTGTATTGCCGTTCGGTTATGGTACATAAATTATCTATCTAAAAGTCGATCAAAGGATGATCAAACAAAAATAATCATTCAGAATAATCAATTCAAAATAATCATTCAAAAATAATTACCTAAAATAATCTATTAAAAGTTGATACGTGCATGATCGATATACATAAAGTACATTATTCTTACTAGATTTAAACTTACACTAAATTTCTTAAATGAGATTTGAGATTTCAATTTTTTAGTTGCAGTTGTTTCCCCGAAACTTTTGTCCTTGTTCATACGTGGTCAACCTTGAATTTTATAACACAGTATAGACTTAAACGTGGTTTGAGGAAGTAGAAGAAAAGTTTGACTTGTCTTTGTTTCTTCTTTTTTTTTGTTTGAGAAAATCAAGTGAGTTTCTTCCATGTTTGTCTCACTCTTTTACGATTTGAAAATGGAGTTGATGTTGTTTTTGCCTTATCTTTGGGGGCAGACACTTTCCCCTCCAATAATAATAATTGCCATTTCAAAGACCTCGTAAATTACGTAATGTCATTGAATTCTTCAACTCATTAAACAAACACTAAACTACTAAAATAACTTCTTACTCAAACATTTGGATTTCGCGTAAACTTATTCACACATTTATTGTTTCGATTTTAATCATCAATAAAATTTTAATTTTATTTTGCTCATTTCTATTTATTGATATATGTTAAGTGATACACGAGTGACATATGTATTTATTTTATTTTAGATAAATAACTTTTTTATAATAATTATTTATATGTTTTTGTTTTGTTTTTAGTATAATAAAAAGTAATCTTAGTATAATAATTTTTTTAATTATGTTTGTTTTGTTTGAACTATTTAATATTTGAGGTAATTAATTGAGTATGTGTTTGATCTTTATAAATTATCTTGTGTTTATTAAGAGAAAAATTAAGGTCGATATGGAAGAAGCTTTTTGCTCTTTATTTTTTTTCCTTTTAAAATTAAGGTTGGATGTCAGCAAATTGAATTAACACGTTATGAAAGTACAAATGCAAAAATGTGCAAAATAGGAATGTTGACATATAAGTAAGGCAATCAGGTATCTACACAACAAAAAAAAGCGTTGAAAACAATCTCACGTTACACATAATTTTGTTAAAATTGAGTTTGCTATTGATAATTGAAGACTTTAAATAGCCGTGATACTTACAATATTACAGAAATAAAAGTGGATTAAATATGTTTTTAGTTTTTAAACTATAAAGTGAATTTGTTTTTAGTCTCTTCTTCAAACTAAGCTACATTTTGATATTTCTCTTTAAGGAAACTATAATTTTTCGTCCTCCAAAACCAATAGTGTTAAAAATAAGCTGAGGTGGCTAATGGTGGTGTGTCACGTCATTTTTTTTTTTGACATTAGTTAATCTTTCCCAGCTCCTTTCCCTTGGACTCTACACAAGTTTAAAAACATATTTAACCCAATAAAAATAAACACTAAAAATAAAATAACAACTATCTTAAAAATAAAATCTGCTTAATCTATCATAAAATAATATTATATCTAGATAAACAAAAAATCATAACTGCATATCCCTATTTTATCTCTATCAAATCAAACTAAATATTACTATACCCAAAACTAATAAAATAAAATTTTAACAAAATTATTAATAAAACCCTAAAATTTAAGTTTATCCCAACAAACTCTCCTATAAACTTCAATTCTTCCTCCCTTATTCGGTTTTCCATGTCCATCATCCCATACCGGGTTTGCTTCTTTCAATCATATTTGAGTTGGTGTTATCCAAGCTCTTGCTAGTCATATCTTGTTTCAAACATTTTCTCTCCAAGATTTTTAGCTCCAGTTCATACAACAGGTTCTTTTTTTCTTTTACCTGGGTTATTAGACAACCACACTTATCCATTAAATACAATACCTGATTTTTCATAAAAACTAAATTACCATTTTCAATTATCGACCCATGCTTAAAATATTGCTCTTCAGCTCTGGAACATAGTAAACATCCCTAATATCTCCAACTCATCCATTCTTCTGCATATGTCGGATTTTTCCACACCATTTCACGACCACCTTGGAGTCATCTACGAAAGACATAAATTTGGCCTCCACCTTGGTGAGTTTATAAAAAAAGTTCTCGTTTGCACACATATGATTGCTTGCCCTAGTATCTAGATACCATGCCGAGTTAGTAGAAATCTCATCAGCCTTCATTTGTTCTTCATCTTCTTCTTCCCTATTTTTATCTGGTTCAAGAATGTTATATGCTTTTTCTTCCTTTTGAAGAGTCGTCTTCTTCAGCTTCTCAAGCTCAACCCTCTGTTTATTCATAATTTCATTAGCTTCATCCAGAAGTCTCCCTATCCGCTGAATCTCTTCATCTTTTTGTTTGAGTTTCTTTTCCACGTTTGTCGCACCTTTTACCAAGATCACTTCATCCATTATTGAGACCGAATTTTCCATGTCCACTGTATCCGAGCTCTTTGCCAGCAACAGTTCTTCTACATCTTCAGTAAGGAGATTCGTCTCCCCCTTTGTCTCTGCCTTGCAATACTTTGCAATATGGCCTGCCTTACCAAAATTGTAGCACTTGCTTGATCTACACTCGTTTGCATAGTAGCCATACTTGCCACACTTAAAACACTCAACTCTTGACCGATCTCCTCGATCTTTTTCTTGTCCTTGGTCACGCCAATTCTGCTGATCGGTTTGCTCTTCATTCTTATTCTCAAAATTACCTCGGCCATGTCCACTTCGTCCTCGGCTTCCTCGCCCTCTACCGCCAGGACCTCGGCTTTGAGTAATCTGAGTTTTATTAGAGTCAAATTGTACCTGTAGTGCTTGATTGTCGAGTTCAACCTGATCATCCCAACTTCTTCTCTTTTGTTCGTGGGCTTCTAATGACCCAGCAAGTTCATCCACTGTGAGAACCAACAAGTCCTTCGTTTCTTCGATGACACACATGATACTTTCAAAATCTTTTGTAAGGGATCTCAAAATTTTTTCCACAACCCGGCTAGATGGCATTTGTTCTCCATTCCTGCCGAGTTGGTTGTCCACCTTCTCCACCCAAGTTATGTACTCGGTTATACGTTCTTTGGACTCCATCTTCAATTGTTCAAATCCTTTTAACGTGAATTTTTTAATGTTGTCATTTGTGCCACCGTGTGATCTTCGTCCTCATCAAGTTCAACATACCCATCTTCCACCATATCCCAAATGTCTTGGGATCTCAACAACGCCTTCATTTGTAGGCACCAATTATCATAACTGGTTTTTCTCGTGAATTGTGGCACATTCATACCATTGACAACCTTTGTCATCTCTCTCAAAAAATCAAGCACTCACTTTTTCTCTCACGGTGTTTGACTCTCTCCTCTCTCTCTTTGTACTCAAAGCATAAAGCTCTGATACCACTGTTAAGAAAATCTCATGCTACACACACTCTGATATTTTCCTAAAATTGAGTCTCCTATTCATTGATAATTGAAGGGCTTTAAATAGTCGTGATACTTACAATATAGCGGAAATAAAAATAGACACTGAAAATAAAATATCAACTATCTTAAAAATAAAATTTTCTTAATTGATCATAAAATAATATTGTGTCTAGTTAAACAGAAAATCATAACTACCTATCCCTATTTTATCTCTATGAAATCAAACTAAATATTACTACACCCCAAACTAATAAAATAAGATTTGAACAATATTATTAATAAACCTAAAATTTAAGTTTATCCCAACAAAAAGAAAATATAAATTATTAAAACAAAAATGAAGAGTTATGCTATTATTAGATTTTGAAATCCATCTATTAAAAATGTTACCGAATTAGTTAGATTTCAAATTCACGTTAACATCAAATTTACTAGTCACCTTGTGAATACCTCTTATGAAGAATATGTTAACTTGTTAACAACAGAGGAAAAACTAATGTTAAATGTAGAATAAATTTTAAAGGAACAAAAATGAGATGAAAACGAAGAAAGAATATGAATATTATCATAAGGAGCTTTGGTGCCACCATTTCACTTAAATGGATCTAGAAAAAAATTGATGCTGGAGTCCAAAATTGGTGTTATGGTACAACTTGATGCTTTCACAATTTGTCATTTAAAAAGAGATTGAGCTGCTGAAAAAAAAATGATAAAAAACACAAATATAATCACAAGTACACAATATTCTAGGATTAAGCAACAAAATACAATTTGAATGTTTTAATAACATCTGTGCTACAATCAAAAACATTAATGCTACAACTCAATAAACTAATCTTTAACAAAAACATAATTGTTAATGCGACAAAACAAACAACACCATAATTTTTTCAACTTTTATCTATTTATGTAATTTTCTCTTCAATTTCTCGTTCTTCTTTGTTAGGTCTAGAAGAACTTTGTCTCTTTCAAAAAAAACTTCATTTCCTTTCAATTTGTTTTTGTAAAATTACTTAAATTTTAGATTCTCCTTCATCAACCCATTCAAAGTAGTTACACTTGTGTAGAAAGGGCTTTAGACGTCCGTTCTTTTGGCCTTTTGACGTCCGACGTACGCCCGGCGTTTATGTGGGTGACGTTACTCAAACGCCCGCTGTGTCAGGACAGACGTCTATATAGACATTCGTTGTGCAAGACCGGACGTCTATATAGACGTCCGCTATGTTAGGACGGACGTCTATATAGACGTCCGCCTCCTCCCTCCCCGGACGTCTACCAGGCTGAATTGTTTGTGGTAGGGTCTGGGGGTGGACGTCCGTGTGTGCACTGCAAGACGTTTATAGACGTCCGACTGTACACTAACGAACGTCTACTGGGCATTTTTTTTTTTTTAAATTAATTTATTTTTTCAATAAAACCACACCTGAAAAGTAGAAAAATGTCCCAGAACAATTTTGCAATAATATAAATATGCGTTTTATATAAACAAAGTTCTACTTAATGTGGAGTTCAATCCACTACCAAAACTATCAACATAAAACTTAAACTAAACTAAACAATGTTCAACAAGAAATATAACTATTCCTAACTCCATCTTTGCAGAAGATAAGTGGTCCACTCCTGCCTTATCTGTTTAATTGTGTCCTCTGGAATAGGCGATGTACTCTTGAAGCGCTGCAAAATTCAAGA